AACTAACGCTGACGGCACTATCGAGCGCTTCAAGGCACGATGGGTCGTACGCGGGTACGACCAGCGACACGGCATTGATTTTGATCAAACCTTCGCTCCCGTCAGCCGTCACACCCCCGTCAGGATTCTACTCGCCATTGCCGCTGCTAAGCACCTTCCACTGCGGCACATCGACGTCAAGAATGCGTTCTTGTACGCGCTGGTGGATGCAACTATCTTCGTGGAACAGCCACACACCTACGGGGAAGGAGACCCAAGAGTCTGTCAGCTGAAGAAATCCCTCTACGGGATAAAGCAAGCGCCGCGTCTCTGGCAGCAGCACCTGCACAAAATCCTCCTCGAAATCGGCTTCAGGCAACTGCCGCACGACCCGGGAATGTACCGCCTTCGTTTCAACGGCGACTACATCCTCCTGACTGTCTACGTCGACGACCTGCTGTATACCGGCACCTGCAACAAGCTCCTTAATCAGTTCGAGGAGAACCTGGCGCAGCGCGTTGACATCACCATCAACCACAACGTGACACATTTCCTAGGGCTGAACATCACCTACGCGCCAGAAGCAATTCACCTGTCAGCCTCCAAGTACGCAGAGCAGCTGGGAGAACGCTTCAACATTTCGTCCGCACCACTTTCAACTCCTTACCGCAACCCCAGCGCCAACTACAAACCGAACAACAAACCTCTGTCTCCCGCAGGACTCCAAATGTACCAGCAGAAACTGAGGTGCCTGTTGTTCGCCTCTGTCACTTGCCGACCCGACCTTTCGTATATCGCCAGCCAACTGGCACAGTACTCTCGCAAGCTAGTAGCAGAAAACCAGCTGGACCTGGAGCGCGCCCTGCAGTACTTCATTTCCACACCTGACATCGGGCTCTCCTACTCCACACTGACAACAACCTCCTTCAACCTCAACGGCTACGTGGACGCAGATCATGCCGCTGATCCTGCGAATCGACGGTCCCGAACCGGCTTTGTTTTCCGCTTGGAACCAACAGGACCAATCTCCTGGAACTCACAGAAGCAGGAGCTGGTTGCCCTGTCATCGGCCGAAGCAGAATACATCGCCGCGACAGCAGCAGTTCGCGAAGGACTATACATGCAGGAGTTGCTGCAGGAAGCGAAAATTCCAACTTCACCCACCTTTCGCCTTCACTGCGACAACCAGAGTGCCATCAAGATTGCGAACAAGCCAGGGTTCGTGAACCGCACGAAGCACATCGCGCTTCGGTATTTTTTCGTCAAGGACGAAATTGACCAGGGAAAGGTTGACCTCACGTACTGCCCCACCACCGAGATGGCAGCCGACATCCTCACCAAGCGACTGCCACGTCAGCAGTACAAGCACTGCTCCGACCTCACCGGAGTAGTCAAGCGAGTCAGTCCCTTGCGCGCCCAGGAATGAAGGGGAGTGTTACGATATGAAACTTTATGAGAAGGCATTCCTGTATGCTGCAGGGGCCGACTCTAAAGTGTACGAAGTTGAGGAGTCATAAGAGTCGAAGCGACACTGGTAACCGTCTGATCAAGACCGATGCAGGCAGAAACATTCAAAGTGAAAAGAGCGGGAACAGGTTTGAAACGGGTTCCCGTGCCGCACGGTTTGAACTTCGCTGTAATAAGGAAATGTACCCCTTAGAGTATATGGCTAGCCTTGGTCGCTTCTTATTCCTTTGTATTTCCTATATAAACCCGATGTATGCATGCTATTATTATCTCAATCATTTACATTCACTCTGACCTGAGATCAACACTTCCGTTGCAACATTACCCTGCGATCAACCCTGAGCGATCCTTCGCTAAGTCCTAACACTTCGCCTCATGTATAGGTTATAGTTTGATTATGCTTGTAACACGGTACGCTCAGTATGTATTTGGCTGCGTTCTCCTATTGTAAAGTGCATTGTTTATTTGAGTATGCTTGTAAAACAGTAAACTCCTCGGAAAACCTTTCTTTGAGGATAGCCTGACAGAGGAGTCTGTCCTTATTACATCCAACGAGTATCTCTACAGCGCAGATCCCTGCACCTCTACCTCAGATTCAAGGCTGTGTCAGCTGCGACATCACTTGAGCGAGTCCCTGTCGCATCCAGGGCTTGTGATCCAGCCTGCGAACTTCGTGCATTTCGCGAGGCGGCGAGCATGACAAGTTGAGTCAGCAGATCGTAGTTCGCTAGCCCCGGCATCGCCGCCGAGCATTCTTGTAATGGACGGCAGGGATTTAAACATTTCATGAATTTCCCTCCTGTTGCTTGCGAGCGTTTCAGGGGTTTCGAGACTGGCGCAAGGTGCTTTTCCATGCGACTCCTGGGCGATTCTTCGCGACGCTTTTGCCTGCGACTGTCGCAAGTGCTGCTGACGCCCAGCACATCACGCTCTTTCGAGATTGTCCCGCTACAAGCACTGTCGGCGTCGCTACAAGTTGTCGCTTGCTCTTGTGAAGATTCGCGTCGCCGCTTCGCATTATTGTCGCCGTCCGCGCACCAGACTCCGAGGCTGCGAAAGCTGCAGTCGCCGCTGTCGCTGCCGCTGCCGCTGCGGCTGCTGCTGCTGCAGCAGCTCTCTTCTGCGAAACCGCCGCAGGGAATGCACAAAACATTCTGAACGTGTCGCACGGATGTCGCAATCTTCTCGTCTGTGCGACGGGTGGCGATCTCATCCTTAGCGGTTGAGTCAGCAGCTCTTGCAGGAATCCCGTCGCAACGGCCGCTACTCAAGCAGCTCGCACGCACGTCGTCGTCGCCGGGCGATGGCTTTGGGTCGCAAACGTCGTTCGTGCCGTCGTACGACATGATGGCGTCGATATCTAAGTCGTCGGGCAACCACGGCGACGACTCCTGCCCCTTGAGGCCCGTGTCGCAAGGGGGGCTGCTCAGCAACAGGCTGTCGCCGGAACGCGGCATGGTTAACGCTTCAGAAACGGACTCCCCTCAATAAAATGGAAAAGAATCACTCTCTTTCAAAGAGACACGAGCAGTAGTGTGCGATATGTTACTACTAGTAGTAAGCGTCTGTCAAGCAGTGTGGAAGGAACGATTTCACGTTGTGTGTGATGTTGGCTGTCAATGAAACTGACGGACCGAACCGAAAATGCCATTCCAGTAGTGCCTCCCATTTTTCTAGCAGCCAAGAATGGCGAGACAGAGACTGAAGAATCGCAGAGAGTGCAATCCCACGGCCTGTTGCTGGTCCTAGAAGCACGTAGGAGTGATATGTAATCGCCAAAGCCGCAACTTGCGCGGATGCCAAATCCAGAAAGTAAGCATGGAATGCCAGTGGTGGGCTGGTGGTTGGAAATGGAAACCTGCTGTATGGGTGAGGCGGTGAGTTGGGGGACGTGAAGTGTTCGAACGAAGTGAGGTGGAAGTGTAAGAGTGACGTAGACGACCAAGGTGTGTGAACGAGGTACTTCTGTTCTGGTCCGTACGTACACTGTGTGAAGAAGGAAACGGAATCCGTACCGTACGAGAGCCAGGTTCAACCAGTGGCCCTGTGAGTTGTCGTGATGTAACGTGTCGGTGCCCCTGATACACAACCAGCCAAGCGAAACCAGGTGGAGAGTGGGTATCCGCCCCAGTGGGCTGCTTGTGTCCCCAGCTGTGGTTTGAGATAGGTCCGCACATAGGCGCAACTGGGCCCAGCTGCATGAAACGAACATATCGTATCGATGATACTTGGTGCCTGGCCATCTCCAGTGTTTTATTAAGTGCGAGTTACCCTTATTACTCTCAAATCTTGGAAACGTTTTCTTCCACGACTTCCAACCAATTACCATTGGAAAGAGGTTCCCGACACACGGCAAGACGGCTCTGGTCGCCATTTTACTGACGAATATTAGTGCAACTCTGACATTTGAGAACTATAGACAAAATTCTTGAGAATTCTACAATCTAGACTATTATATTCATTATATTCCTGATAACAAAACACAATTGAAGGGGGTGTAAGGAGAGTACGTCCGAGTGCGGTTGAATAAGGCTCATAACGATCTAGAGCGGATGGTTGGGTAGGGTACACCCTGTTTCGCGCCACACTGACATTCGCTGTATTGACATGCCGCTTATTCTGACATCAACGCGTCCAAAACGGTCCCAGAACATAGCATATAAGCACAATTCGCCGCAATCAACCGTACGCGATAGCATTGTTTCTTTCATAAACCGTTGTGTATCGTTCTCCTGGACCGCCACCTACCTGGGGTTTGGTTGTAAGCACCAGCCCGCAAAATCCAAGCACACGTTCGCACTGTAGCCGGGGCTCCCGATTGTCCAAACGTTGAGAAACAGGGTGTACTACTGTCAGTACGTACTTCTCGGACCCGCCCTTGTGGGCACAACGTCTGAACCACCTGTTCTCTTTCAAAATTAGCTCAATTCATGCTTCGTGGTTCAGAACGTTTCAACACGGTGACTTCAAGATATTGAGCTGGAACCAGGTTCTGAGGGGTAAGGGTTTAGGGCTGGTCACACTTAGTTCGCTTACGGTTCATTAAACGGTTGAGTACGATGTTTTGCACTCTAGAGCGGTTTGTTCACTTCGCCGCTTTGAACCGCTTTTCACCAGCCTGACAGTGATGCATGAACTGAAAACAAATGAAGTGTGACTTGCCCATTAGTTGAGCACCTTATTTCGTTCAACACGAACCGATGCGCGTTGTTAAAAGGGGGAGAGCCAGTTCTCAACACACCTAAGCTCCAACTCACTGCTTCAAGTATACGCATAACCATACGATCTACGGACGTTCGGCGGAAAAGTATATTACGATTGAAGGTCTATTGCTGGCCATATCCCTATGTCAGCAAATTGCCTGACAATGGATGATGGTTACCAGGACTGTCATCAGTGGCCAAAATAGCTGGAGGTTCCTTGGCGCTCATCCGTTTTGTAACGAAACAAGGTGACCTCGGTACGCATTGAGAGCAAGACCTGACTGGTGAAGATAGAATTTGACTTAATGCGTATATAATATTTATTATAAATATTTTCAGAAACACAAGAATTTACTGGCCGGGGGTGAAGTTGGTGGCATAGGCCCAGGCGTTGTTCACGGTGGGGTCAGCCAAGTGGTCGGACAGATTCTCAAGGGGACCCTTGCCGGTCACGATGGCCTGGACGAAGAATCCGAACATCGACACCATGGCGAGGCGGCCGTTCTTCAGCTCCTTCACCTTCAGCTCGGCGAGAGCGTCGGGGTCGTCAGCCAGACCCAGGGGGTCGAACGCACCGCCGGGGTACAGGGGGTCCTCAACCTCCTGGAAGCCCTCGAGGCCACCCACGCGGTAGCTCTCAACGGCGCCCATCAGGATGACCTGGGTGGCCCAGATGGCAAGGATGGACTGGGCGTGGATCAGGCCGGGGTTGCCGAGGTAGTCAAGGCCGCCCTCGGAGAAGATCTGGGCACCGGCCTTGAACCACACGGCCTCGCCGAACTCGACGCCGTTGTTGGCCAGGAGCTCAGGGGTCAGGCAGCCCAGGGCGCCGAGAAGAGCCCAGCGGGCGTGGATCACCTCCAGCTCGCGGTTCCTGGCGAAAGTCTCGGGGTCGGCGGACAGGCCGGCGGTGTCCCACCCGTAGTCACCGGCATACTCGCCGTTGAGGTACGACGGGGGGGAGGAGAAGGGGCCCAGGAACTGGGGGCGGTCAGGGCCGTAGAAGGAGCTGGCGGGGGCGGCCTTGGCCGTCTTCCTCATGGAGACGCGAGCCTCCACATTGTTGACCTTGGCGGCGAGCTCAGCGCTCTGGCCGACGAAGGTGGAGGGAGCAACAGCGGCGTTGGCGAGGGCAGCCATTTCTGTCTGCTTGAAGGGATGATAAAAAATGTATGGGAATTGGAATGTGCTGCTGAAGCTTGAGAATGCTATGAAAGTGGGGAGTTTTGTAGGGCTGGCTGATCGAACCTCCTGATCCAACACACGGGGGATTTTGAGTTTCCCTAGGGAATTGGTGATTGCTCGAGTCGCGCGCAATCGGTTTGATGTCGGGGCTGCTGGATAGCCATGTGATGTGTCCCTCCAGATTTTTGCGAAAGTCACGTCGCTCGCTCTGATTGGCTTTCTGAATTGCGGGTGACTCGCGACGGGCACACTCTATCCCATCACTTTGCGACTCGCTACCACATAACAGGACCACAAGTCAAAAACTAGAATACAGTGTCTTCAATCATACAAATATTTGCTACCACTACAGGTATGCATCTCATGAATGCCACATGACTGCACTATTTCCTATCAGCGTTCTAGAATGCATAATTAGAAGCATAAAGAGTTGTATACATTGATTCGCACAATGTGGTCGCTTTACATTCCAAAAATAGCGTAGCTCACAAATACAAATGAAGAAGGAGCCTAGTTCAACTGATCTCCACCCTACCCCAGCAACACTCACACAGCCAACCCATCCACATACCCCTTCAGTCCCCCTCCTCTCTCAGGCTGCCTCAGCTTCAACAGCGCCTTGGACTCAATCTGCCGAATCCTCTCTCTCGTCACCCGGAACATCACTCCCAGCTCCTCCAGGGTCTTGGCGCGCCCGTCGTCCAGCCCGTAGCGGTGCCACATCACCTCCCTCTCCCGGGGCGTGAGTGTGCCGAGCACCTGCTGTAAGTCTCGCTTCAGCAGCTGCTGCATCATGCGCTCCTCTGGACACTCCAGTGTTAAGTCCTCCACAAATGACTGCTCGCGTGTTCAGGGGGGATTGGGGAGAGGGGATGGGTAGTGGTTGGTTGAGAAATTAGTGAAAAGGGATTTGTCGGAGAGAAGGGAATCTTATCTGTGGGGTGTGACACACATCAAAGACACAGGCTTGATCCTACACAGGTAGGCAGCACAGAGGTGAGCATGAGCTGGACAGAAAAGAGAGACGATGGGGAGAAGAGAGGAGACGGATGAAGGAGAAGTGAAATAGCCTCGCCCTGAGGGTGTCTCTGCCATCGGAGCGGAAGATTGAAGGGGGCGGGCGGGGGTGGGAAGAATGGGAGATGAAGGGAGAACGTGGCTAGCTTACCCTGAACGTGACTTCCCTATCGGAGATGGGTCGGTCCATGGAGCAAGGATGGAAAGCTATCCGTGGGTTCCAATGCATTCAAGCCACGCGTCCAGTTTAAACGCAGGCCCCGTCTAAACGCGGGACTTGTAAGCGGCTCACGACGAGTGTGTCCTCGCTATCTCTGGGTTTCTTTCAACACATTCAATTCACGACACACGCCCGGTCCCGGTTCAAAAGCAGGACAAGCAAGCAGCTCACTCACCCCGAGTGTGTCCTCGCCCTCGGAAGAAATCGGTCGGTCCATGGAGCAGGGCGCGCGCACGTTGCGCACGGCCGCTCTTAGCTTGGCGGGGGTGAGCCCCACGAGGCCTGCCAGCTCGCTGTCGGACGGCAGCCGCCCAAGCTGCTCCCACAGCAGGTCACGCGCCTTGGCAATGCGCGATAGCAGCTCGTAGATGTGCGCCTGGGGAGAAGAGAAAGATGAGGGCAGAGGAGGATAAAAATATTGAAGTTGATGTGTGAGTTGACTTATCAGCCGCCCCAGCTGCTCCCACAACAGGTCTCATGCTTTGGCGATGCGTGATAGCAGCTCGTAGATGTGCGCCTGCGAGGGATGAGAGGAGGACGGAGGGTAGAAAGGACATTTGAATTGACGTTTAAGTTGACTTCTCAGCTACCAACTTGCGCATTGGCAATGTGAGACAGCAGCTCGTAGATACGAGCCTTGGGGGAACGAAACAGAGGATGGTGGTGGAAAGGGCAACTTGATGGCACGGTGTGGTTTGTGTGTGGGCGTGTGATGTGACACGAGGTGCGATGGGGTGCAACAAGATAGTATTGCATGACGAATCAGCAGACGGGGATACCATGTCGTGGCGCAAGGCGGTGAGGGGAGGTGACACATGGAGGGAGGGCGGTCAGGTGAGAGGGAGAGACGGCAAAGGCGTGGTGGTAGGGAGATGGTGAGGCGATTCGAAATAGCCAGACACCCAGGAATGCTCAGGTGCGATCAATGTGGGACCATGTGATGGGGTAATGGAGTGGCGGCATAGCACGGTACAAGCACGCAAACACTCAAAGCTCACCGGGAGGCGCACGGTACGGGTCTGCTCGCCGACGGAGCGCGTGATGGCCTGGCGGATCCACCAGTGCGCGTACGTGGAGAACTTAAAGCCCCGCTTGTGGTCGAAGCGCTCTATGCCCTTCATCAGCCCCATGCACCCCTCCTGTCGCGCGCAGCACAGGGGAAGCAGAGGCAAGGACAGACACGAGCATGCAGAGATCAGAGGCACGCACACAGGAGAGCATGCCAGGAAGCGGGAGTGTCGCCCACGCTTATCGAACACCTGGAAACAAATCGTGATACGGCAATGTGCTTCCACTAACCCACGCATCACCCTTCACTCTCGCTTTCCTTTGTTGGTCTCCCCGTCGCCCCTAAACCACCTGTTCGCTTGCTGCTTAGCCCTGCTTCCCACACGGCTACCAGTTATTTCTCGTGCGCGCGGTACCAGTTCTTTCTGGCGCACGCGCTATCACGTTAGAGTGTCCCATACCCCTGTCACCCTTTCCGCGCGTTATCGCATCCCAAACCATCTGCACTCCTCCCAACCAATCCACCGACCTTTCAACCCATACACAGACTACTACACTCAGCTACTCGCCTCACCCCTCCTGCCCGCCTCTCATCGCACATCGTCGCATCTCGTCTCTCAACATGCGGCTCACCGTGATGAGTTCCTGGAGCCCGACTCCCCCGCGGCAGTATTTCTTCGCGACGCTGATCACCAGCCGCATGTTGCTCGCCATCATCGCCTTCTTGCACTCGCGCCCGCGCGCCTCCCGCCGCCGCAGCTCCGCCACCGACAACCCCGCCGCCCCCGCCCACTCCTCCATCGTCACCGCGCGCCCCTGCGCCTTCTCCGCCGCGTCTCGCGCTCGCTCGAGCTTCAGGAGCTCGTGGACGCCTTTGGAGTATTCTATTTCCTCCGCGGCTGTGAGGAGACGCGAGTTACCCCCCGCGGATTCGAACATGGCGAAGATCGGGTCGTTCGACACTCGGCGAAACTCCTCCAGGGTCAGGTCCTTCTCTTCGCCGGCTTCTGGTAACTCTTTCGCCAGGGCTTTGGCTGATCGTTTCGCGGGTTTCGCAGCGGAACGGGCGGGAGTGAGTAGGAGGAGGGAGTCTAAGGACGAGTTGGGGAGGGAGGACCGGTTGGCATACCTCTTTAATCGCGCCTTCTCTCTCTGCTCCATGCGCACCCCTTTCCGCCTGGACTTAACTAAGGTGCGTACACTACGCGGTTTAGGTTGACCTGTTGCCTCGGTACTATCACCATCGCTGCTGTCACCGCTGGCATCCCTCTCGCTTAAGTCACCTTCGCTAAGAGCAGACACCGACGCGTCGTTCTGCGACGGACTGCAGTCGCCACCCTGTCTCGGCGACGATCCATGGGACGCCAACGACCAATCGTGGGTCAGCATTGCGCTGCTCGTCCTCTCTGAAGCTACAGACGCTGAACGGACCAATCTGGTGCTGCCACGTGGACTCGCCGCCCCTTCTTCCCCCTCCCACCAGAAACCACCTGCCTCTCGTAGCAAGTCGGCATTAGTCAGGTCGCCGATCAACGCGCTGCGAGCCGGAAGAAACCTCCTAGCGTCGCTATCAAGCTGCGTGTTCCTGGAAGCTTCCAGCGGAGTCAGGAGAGGAACCGGAGCGCCTGCAGCCATCCACACGCTTCGTAACTCCTCCTGCCCCAGCTCCTCCCCCACCTCGATACAATCACGCCAGCTGCTCTCGACCGGCGTCTTAGAGGAATCCTTCGTTGTAGTCACCTGCCGCAGCATGGCCCTCTCTATAGTCGCGAGCTGCGCTGCCTCTTTCGCGACGAGCGCGGCCGTCTGTGCGAGGTACAGCGCCTCGGCTGCTAGCGACTCCACTCGCGCGTCAGACGTGGAGGCGAATCGCTGTGCGACTGCATTGCGCTGTGCGACGCCGTTGTGCGACATGCGAGAGTCCGTGAGCTCGCCGACGCAGCCGGAGGCGGCAGAGGCGGCGGAGGGCGCAGAGAGATGCGGATCGACGCGACGAGGAGGGGAAGCATCGGTGCGACTGTATAAGGGGAGAATAAGACAGGAGAGGGAGGGAGGGAAGAGGTACGACTGTTGAGAAACCTCTACAGTCTTGTTGACATACGAGACGGAAGGATGTGGGGACGAGACATACGTGTGAAAACAGACGGAAACAGGATAGGAATATGATGTCATTCTAATGCAGAATGTACTATGGTCCGGCACTCGAAGCCTCGAATAAACGGGAGCAAGCGGGTCCGACATGACGAATAGAGCTCGAGTAAGCATATTACGAATATACCGCTTCGGGTTGAATTCTAGGATTATGAAGCAGACACACGAGCGATAAACGACTTACTTGTAACTGGAAATAGCTGATGAGGGGCGAAGGAAGACGCGAGAAGGACTGGACGTGGAGTGAGGGGTCGGCGCCGACGACGACGACGAGCACACGACGTCTGCGAAGGGTGCGACGGTTGGCTTGGCGACAGGAACGGCGACGTCGCCGAGAGGCCGTCGCACGAAGAAGACGGACGTGGACGAGCCGACCGCCGGGCTGCTTCCTGCACGACGGGGGGAAACAAAAAGACATAAGATATCACTGAGTACAAAGGCGAGTTGTTCAGGCTGAATGTTCTGAGTACAGCTGAAGTACGCACTCCGTGAACCACACAGCAGTAACCCTAATATGAGATTTTTTACACTGGTAGGAGATAACGTGGGTTAGAAACTCTTGAAACTAGATGAGAGTTATTTGGAATATATTTTTCACGTTTGATAAATACGGTGAGCACAGAGACTCATTAGGTTGCAGGATTTCGCACCTGGCCTTTCTGGCGGCGACCTATCGATTAAGAAAGCCGCTCGGACAGAAGCGGCGGAGACGGCCATCCTTCCAGCGGGTATAGTCGGAAGGCACTACAAGCTCGTCCCGATGAAACGCCCTCGTTAGCTTCGAGATACGCAGGCAGGACGACTAAACAAGACGGCTCGCTGAAAGCAAGGTAAGAACAAGTGGTCCGTCACACGAGCAGGTAGGTGGCTGCCTGCCTGCTGATGGGACGGAAAGAGACTTGTTCTGTGCTGTGCTGTACGTGCTTCAACGGGTTTTTTCCTGTCAGCAATCAGCATTCAGCAGTGACTGATGCTGTCAGCCATGGCTCATGCAAGCCAGTGAGCCGTTGCAGTTAGGTTTGGCTGGGGTGGGGATGCGTGATTTGGGGAGATACAATGGAGACCGGGGGAAAAGGTACATGGGGCGGATGAGGGACCAGAGTCAGCGGAGTTTGAAGAGATACGGGATGGTGAAAAACAAACAAAACGGTGTGAGAATGGTTGAGGCTGGTTGGGACATTCTTGCAGCGGCGTCTGGGGGGAGGTGGGGGAGAGGCAGCAAAAGCTTGTGCGGAGCAGTTGCGGGGATTCAGATCTTTTTCTGCGTTGTACGATTGGTGGCCGCGCTTCACTGTGCTGGTCGCAGGGCAGGGAGAAACCCTCGCGTACACGACAGGTGGAATTGACGTGGCGGGACTGGATGACATGGCGGAGACGGATGCTCACACCAACCGAACATTGCTGCCACTTTGGGTTGTCACCTCGTGGAGAAACGACTTTTGCGGTGCGAACTTGCCTGATCCAGCCACACATCTGTCCACACTCAAAGAAGGAAGTGGATATGCGAGTGGCTAAGGATGACCTGGCACACTGCTTCCCATTCGAAACAAAAAGACATCCTAACAGATCCAGGACTTGCGGAAAGCGGCATGCGGTTCAGGGTGGTTGGCGGGCATCGGCTGGAATACTGGTCAGCACAACCAGAAAGCCAGCGTGGAACGTTGATGACATGGAAATCCCCGATACTTCACCATCTATGAACTAGCGATAATGAAAATCCAGAGTGTAATAGCGTGAAGATGATCAGACTAGCGGGACTTCATCATCTTCAGCACGTGCCTTGTCAAATGAGTTAGTCTTTGCTCAAAATTTTACCCAAACGTATGGAAATGTAAACGAGCCGGCCTTACACGCACAACATCGCTTTCGACCGTATACATGTGAATTCATTGACGCGCCCTAAGTGCGGCTACCGAAAAATCCTCTGCTGTTCCATCCATAAACGTTAAACAAGGCAGTCAGTAGACAGGTTCAATAACACTCTGAACTGAAGTGCACAAAATCGTGCTCAACGGCTTCTGCTGAATGAAGGACGAACATTGGGGGGGGGGCCATCGTGAAGATCGCAGCATAACCTTTGTTGTATCATGCGGGCGCAAGCGTTCGTACTGGTGTCGAGCTGCAAGACAGATTCACGAAGGTGTCCTACCTAATACAATGCTGAACAAAATAGTAACACTAGGCCGGGGCAGCCTACGAAGTGAGTACTCCCAACGTTAGTTAGACAATCACTGACACACTGGGCGGAGGATTCAACGAAGCTTGTTGACATATTATCAGCTGGAGGTGATTCAGCTTCAAGTAGTTTTGATGTGGACTCGAGATTCTTGGCCATTCATTGCTTTCGGTGTGGGCTGTATTTTGCGTACGGTCATCAAAATGTGGAAGTAATTTTGAATTATTCTAAAACTATATTATGTAGCAATGTACAAGGCATTTACTGGCCGGGGGTGAGGTTGGTGGCATAGGCCCAGGCGTTGTTCACGGTGGGGTCAGCCAAGTGGTCGGACAGGTTCTCAAGGGGACCCTTGCCGGTCACGATGGCCTGGACGAAGAATCCGAACATCGACACCATGGCGAGGCGGCCGTTCTTCAGCTCCTTCACCTTCAGCTCCGCAAGAGCGTCGGGGTCGTCAGCCAGACCCAGGGGGTCGAACGCACCGCCGGGGTACAGGGGGTCCTCAACCTCCTGGAAGCCCTCGAGGCCACCCACGCGGTAGCTCTCAACGGCGCCCATCAGGATGACCTGGGTGGCCCAGATGGCAAGGATGGACTGGGCGTGGATCAGGCCGGGGTTGCCGAGGTAGTCAAGGCCGCCCTCGGAGAAGATCTGGGCACCGGCCTTGAACCACACGGCCTCGCCGAACTCAACGCCGTTGCCGGCCAGGAGCTCCGGGGTGAGGCAGCCAAGGGCACCGAGAAGAGCCCAGCGGGCGTGGATCACCTCCAGCTCGCGGTTCCTGGCGAACGTCTCGGGGTCGGCGGACAGGCCGGCGGTATCCCACCCGTAGTCACCGGCATACTCGCCGTTGAGGTACGACGGGGGGGAGGAGAAGGGGCCCAGGAACTGGGGGCGGTCGGGGCCGTAGAAGGAGCTGGCGGGGGCGGCCTTGGCCGTCTTCCTCATGGAGATGCGAGCCTCCACATTGTTGACCTTGGCGGCGAGCTCAGCGCTCTGGCCGACGAAGGTGGACGGAGCAACAGCAGCGTTGGCGAGGGCAGCCATTTCTGTCTGCTTGTATATGAATGAGAAAGATGTGTTGGTTGGAGTTGCTGAAGCTTGTTCAAAATGCTGGTCGAGTGTTTCTTTTGAATTGTTCGTTCGAGGGCTGGAAGGGGAACGAAGGGAGCACAACCGCGAAAAGTCGTCGTTTGGTGGGAAACGCAATCGTCGTGACGCTACGATTGGTTCACATTCCTATCGAGGAGATTCTGGCATCTCAGCCAGGCGATTTGGATTGGTGTGCCAAATTTCCAGGAGAGTCGAAATCTTACCGAAACAACGAATGGTCATATACTTTGGGCGACTTCGAGGTTCAATGCCATTGGTCGAGTTTTCCATCAACGATATTGTTGACTACGGTTTATGATGAAGACTTCTGTGTAATCAGTGGGCTGGGCATTGTATATCATGGTTAACCTACCTATATGAGTAGAACAAGTTTGTGGTTTTACGGAACTTGAATTCTACAATCTTGTCGATTGATTCAGTGTGGGACATGATGCCGGTATGAGGGATGGTACAAAGATATCCATTTCACCAGATGGCGTTTCACATTGTTAGCTCTGGTGTTAACTCCGAGTGTTCGTCTACTGAAAGCACAGCAAGAGCCACAAACGCATTTTTTCTCCACGTACATCCATCCTTTCACTGTCTCCATAAAACTACACAAGTCACTTCTACGTGTTCGGCGAGCAGCCCACCTACGCACAAGCCTTTGTGCAAGGGCCCCTCCATCATGTGTATCGGTTTGAGCTGAGCCAATGTCATTATAGAATCCTGAAGCACCCAGCTGCTAAAACGCCCATCCATATGCCGACCCGTATGAGTTGTTTGGATCTCGGAACACAATGAGGAAGTTTACAGGAATGACGATGCTGTGAATCTAGAGGGTGCGTGGGATGTGTTACAATCCTAAAAGGGACTTAGCCAGGGATCGTCTCAGGGTTGATCGCAGGTAGTTTTGTTGCAGCGGAAGTGTTGACCTCAGGTCGGAGTGAATGTAAATGACTGAGACGATAAAAGCATGCATACATCGTGTTTATATAGGAAATACAAAGGGATGTGCAACGACATAGACTAGCCATGTACTCTAACGGGTACATTCCCTTATTGCAGCGAATTCAAACCGTGCGGCGCGGGAACCTGTTTCAAACATGTTCCCGCTCTTTTCACTTCAAATGTTTCTGCCTGCATCGGTCTCGATCTCACGGTTGCTGGTGTCGCTTCGATTCTTCTGACTCCTCGACTTCGTACTCGGTAGAGTCGGCTCCTGCAGCGTACAGGAATGCCTTCTCATAAAGTTTCATATCTCAACACCCCCCTTCATTCCTGGACGTGTCGAAGGTTGACTCGCTTGACTACTCTCGTGAGGTTGGAGCAGTGCTGGTACTGCTGACGTGACAGTCGCTTGGTGAGAAAATCGGCTGCCATCTTGGTGGTGGGGCAGTACGTTAGGTCAACCTTGCCCTGGTCAATTTTGTCCTTGACGAAAAAATATCGGAGCGTGATGTGCTTCGTGCGGTTGACGAACCCCGGCTTGTTCGCGGTCCTGATAGCACTCCGGTTGTCGCAGTGGAGGCGAAAGGTGGGCGAAATTGGGATTTTCGCCTCTTGCAACAGCTCTTGCAGGTAGAGTCCTTCGCGAACTGCAGCAGTCGCGGCGATGTACTCTGCTTCTGCTGATGACAGGACAACCAGCTCCTTCTTGAGTTCCAGGAGATTGGGCCCGTTGGCTCCAGGCGGAAGACAAAGCCGGTTCATGACCGTCGATTGGCAGGATCAACGGCGTGATCGGCGTCCACGTAGCCGGTGAAGTTGAAGGATGTTGTTGTCAGCGTGGAGTAGGAGAGTCCGATGTCAGGCGTGGAGACGAAATACTGTAGGGCGCGCTCCAGGTCCAGCTGGTTCTCTGCTACCGGCTTACGTGAGTACTGTGCCAGTTGGCTGGCGATGTACGAAAGGTCGGGTTGGCAGATGACAGAGGCGAATAGCAGGCACCCCAGTTTCTGCTGGTACAGTTGGAGTCCTACGGGCGACAGAGGTTTGTTGTCCGGTTTGTAGTTGGCGCTGGGTGTGCGGTAAGGAGTTGAGAGTGGTGCAGGTGTAATTTTGAAGCGTTGTGCAGGTGTAATTTTGAAGTGTTCCCCCAGCTGCTCTGCGTACTTAGAGGCTGACAGGTGAATTGGTTATGGCGCGTAAGTGATGTTCAGCCCCAGGAACTGTGTGACTTTGTGGTTGATGGTGATGTCAACGCACTGCGCGAGGTTGCGCTCGAACTGGTTCAGGAGCTCGTTGCTTGTGCGGATGTACAGCAGGTCGTCGACGTAGACCCTCAAGAGGATGTAGTCGCCGTTGAAGTAAAGGCGGTACATTCTCGGGTCGTGCGGCAGCTGCTTGAAGCCGATCTCGAGAAGTATTTTGTGCAGGTGCTGCTGCCAGAGTCGCGGCGCCTGCTTAATCCCATACAGTGACTTTTTTCAGCTGGCAGACCCTTGGGTCTCCTTCCCCATAGGTGTGTGGTTGCTCCACGAAGATGGTCGCGTCGACCAACGCGTACAAGAACGCGTTCTTCACGTCGATCTGCCGCAGTGGTAGGTGCTTAGTGGCGGCGATGGCGAGTATAATTCGCACCGAGGTGTGACGGCTTACGGGGGCGAAGGTCTGGTCGAAATTAATGACGTGGCGCTGATCGTACCCCCGTACGACCCACCTCGCTTTGAAGCGCTCGATAGTTCCGTCGACCTTAGTTTTAAGACGTAACACCCATTTTCCAGATAGCACCCTCCTGCACGATCGACGAGAACCAAGGTGTCGGGTGATTCCAGCGCTTGGAGTTTCGCATTCATGGCTACACGCCACTCCTTGGCGTGTGGACCGGTTAGGGCCTGCCGCGGATTCTTTGGTTCGTCGGCGCGTGGAGTGGTAGTGGTGGCGGTGTGCAGCCCGAGCAATTGTAGACCTGTCACGTTCGCAGCACCGTGAGCTTCCTGCGTGGTTACTTCAACCACGTCGTCGTCATCGCTTGCGTGTGCAGGCGAGGAACTGCTTGGAGGGTCTTGGGGCCGTGAAGGTCCTGTCGCGGGAGCGTCGTCATCGTCATCATCGTCGTCGTCGTCGCGCGGACGAGGAGGTACGCCGGGATGTTCGTCGGCAGGGTCGCAATCAAGGGTTGCGGCAGCTGCCTCATCTTCTAGGGAGGCAAAGCTTCGGGCGTTGTTGGCGTAAGCTTGCGTGACGCCTCTCTGCTGATCCGCGATCCACTGGTCGAGAGTGAGACGTTCGTAGAAGAGGATGTCTCTCGCAGGTACGATTTTGTTGTTGTTGATGTCCAGGATCAGCCAGCCTTTGTACTCATAGCTGAGCCCCAGATGCACTCCCCAGCGCGCGCGATCGGTGAACTTGCCGATGGTAGCAGATGTCGGCCTGTATTGTACCACCTACCCCCAAACCCTCAGCATGGAGGTGTCCCCCCTTGTCCCGGTCCACTTCATGTATGGTGAGAGGTGCCCCCTGTTGGCGGTGGTGGACAGGAGGTTGTGGAGCCGCACGGCGTGGTTCATGGCGTATGGCCAGTACTTCTTGGGAAGAGCGGACCTTTATGAAGGCGCGGACCTTTAGCATGAGGGTGCGGTTGACAAGCTCAGCGACCCCTTGCTGCTGGTGAGCATAGGGGAGTGAGATGTGATGCAGAATCCCCTTCTCCGTAAGAAAGTCCTGCAACTCTTTGATGCGGAACTCCTTTGCTCCGTCGGTCTGCCAAATTTTCAGCTTCTTTCCCGATTGCCGCTGCGCGTGAGCCAGCCAGACCCGAAAGACTTCAGGTGCTTTGGAGCGGAAGTCAACGTTTCCGATCCAGACATAGCGTGCGTTGGTGTCAAGGAAGGTGAGAGTGTAATTCTCATCATTAACTCCCCCGTGGTTGATCACGATGAAGTCGCTGTAGACCTTCTGCAGCTTCTTGTAGCGGTTGGTGCTCAAATCCAGTGAGGGATAGGCTTGATGTGCGAGGGCAGCTGTGGGGAAGACGGTGCAGACATGTGGCTGTGAGGTCCGTCGTGGTTCCATCCCGTCAGGGCGCAGCAGTGCTCTTGGCAGGAAGACCTTAGCGGTGAGGCAGTTATTGAATGTCTGGCGTGAGGGGTGGCCGAGCCGCTGGTGCCAAAGGTCATCTTATGCGCGGACTCCAGGGGTGTGCATGTATCGTGCGAGGTATGCTGTTGCTTCCGCTTCTGTCTCGTGAGGGATGCATAGCACGGGTCCTTCTTCTTCTCCTGGTTCTGCTTCTGCTTCTTCCTCTGCTTCCTCTTCTGCCTCTGCTTCCCCTTCTGCTTCCCCTTCTGCAGTTGCTGTTGTCAGATAGAGCGTGAGGAAGTTTCGGTCGGGAATGGTGTTGAGCGGAGTAGTTGTGCCTTGGGAATGGTGTTGAGCGGAGTAGTTGTGCCTTCGATGAAGCGGGCGAATGGATATGGGCGTGTGAGGGGTCAGTACGCGTCGCGCGGTGGTGTTGAGGGTATATTTCCGCGCTCGAGCCCGGACCATGTAGAGTGCCAGATTATTGGTGAGCGGGGAGGTGAAGGAAGGTTGCGTGGAGGTCGCCCGAGGGGAACTACAACTCTTGGTGGGGTCCGCTCGGCGGCTATTTCTCTCTCTGCCTCCTCTAGTTCTTCTCGGGTGAGTTCGCCTTTAGTGACTCCCCAAGCTCCAACGCTTTCCCAACCGCCGGAGCCTCCTCCGCTAGTTCCCCAGCCACCTGTAGTGCCAGAGGCACCAGTAGCTGATGCCCATGTTGCTCCAAGCAGCACGTTGGCAGCTTTGAGGTCTCGGTGCAGCAGCGTGCGTCCCATGCCGTGGTGCAGATAGTGCACCGCCTCACACAACCCCGGTGCTGCTACCTGGTTCTTGAGTCGACTCAAGGATCAACTCACCATGGGCTGCCAATTGCTATCAAGCAGCACGTTGGCGGTTGCTACCTGGTTCTTCTGTGTTGCCCCAGCCCCATCCGC